GTGTAAGTACTGACCCATAAGGGAGTTGGTCCACCATGCACATTCTCTTCCTGAGTTTCTTGGTCTGTGAAGCAAAGACTGGTCCTCGTTAAAAATTGAAGAGACTGAGTTTGATCCCCATAAGTATGATCCAGCTTAGCATTTCTAGTAAGTTAAATGTAATAAAAACAAGGAAATTTCAAATTTGAAAACATATGGCTCTAAAGATATGGTTGCCAAGGAAAAATCAAGTTCTTAGTACAATGACATGTCATAACAAATTGCATTCAGGTAAATTTCAGATTAAGTCACAGCTGTTACTTAAATACTTATAAGCCTATTCTACGGTAGCCTGCGAACAGGCTCCCGGTGAGCCCGTCCCGCCCCGATTGCTTCACTTTCCAAATTCTTCAGTTCCACGCTGGCCGAATTTTTTTTCCGTCCTCGCCGGGAGCCTGTTCACAGGCTAATTTAACGGTTAAAGTTGATGGGGTCAACCAATGCGCCAAGATTAAATCAACCGGTAGTCTGGACATTGCGATGGATCATATTGTCATGCAGTCAGTTGGGTTCAGGCTTTGTTTTCCACAAGGTTGAAAGGTTAAAAGTTATTTATGTAATTGATTAGTTATTGCTGTCGGAATTATTTCTGGTATTGGGTTAACCTTTACTTAGGGCACTGGGATTTGGGTTGTCAAAGTTATCTACCCTGGGTTTCAAAGTATTAGAGGATCTGTTCTGTGGAACAAGATTCCATCGGAAATCAGACACCTATCTAGTTTAAAACTGTTTAAAACCTTACTGAAAGGGAAAGATTATTTTTAGTACATTGTAAATTAGAGAAAGTTTTATTACATAGTTTTTTACTGTAGGCTAGTTAATTCAGTAGTTCGTTAGTTAATGTAATGTAATGTTAGTTAATCCATTACTGTTAATATAATTAATTTATTCTTTGTAATTTTTTTCACGACTCCTAGGAAGACCATTTTTATGATAGGATTTTCGTGCTTAAATAAAGATTGACTGACTGATTGATTGATTATGATCATCGCCGGACAATTCAGGTTGATTTCAAAGTTATTTGTGTCGCCAGATTCAATGTGACTGGTATTTGGCTGCTAGGTTTAAAATTGTTTGTTTCATAAGGCCAGCAATTTCATTCGAGTTCAAAATTATTTGTTTTTCTTGCTGGACCGTTAAGAATTGATTTCTTCATGTGGGCTTCAACTGACATCATTTTTTTTTTGTAGTTCTATGCATGTCCAATTTGACGAAATTTGAACGTAAAGTTAAAATCGTCTGTTTCAGTGTCTAGCAATCTTGTTTCTCGAACATGATTGGTGGAATCATGGACAATCTTAGATTCCTTTGTTTAAAATCGTGCTGCGATTGTTTGAAAACCCCCAGGTGGCCCTGTTGAAGTCGTTACACTGTAAAACGCTTTGAGATTTACTGAAGGAAAATCTGGGAAGTCAGTGTTCCTATTTCAAGTTTGCATTCTTTTGAGGATGCTATATTGTGCAAAGACTGTTTTCCAAAGCTTTTTCATTCTACTTGAATGTTGCTTTTTGTAACAAATTCTGATTTGTTGATCGTTTTAAATAAAGTGGCATTAATTGCTGACCTATTATGTTTGCTGACCATTTGAATGATAAACATCTATGGAGTTTGCCTTCAGAGAAAGTTTTAGCAAGCAATTACCTAGCGGCCTAAAGTTGTCCAATATCTTGTAGCAGTGTTCTTGCTAAAAGTAGCTCAACTGTATAGTGTAGAGCTTAAAGGTGCTCAGTTTTGTGCTAAAAGCTTAGTCAAATCTGGCTACAATATGTGCAATTTTTCAGTCTAACTTGTACAAGCTCTAGCTGAAAGCTGCACAATTTGTGATGAAGTGCGCAATTACTTGCTAAGAACAGCGCAATTTCTCTCAGCTTGAAGTTAGCAATTGCTTAGTTACCATCTAAAAGCTGCGCAACTTTTCGCTATCCATTTCTAGGTACAATCTGGGCAATTCTGGCTTAAAGTGGCGCAGTTAACGCTGAAACGTGTGGAACGTCTTGCCAAAAAGTGCACTATTTTTTCAAAATAACACGCTCTT